CCCTAGAGGAGAGCACGAGCCAGAGGGTGGGCTCAGGGTCCAGTGCCGGGGGCCCCGCACGCCCTCTGGAAGGGAGATTCCGGGGCTGGCAACCTCTCTGGTCATGTCCAGCCTGTGGGTGCCCGAGCCCTAACGTGGGGCTCTTGGGGCGGGCGCTGCCTCCCCAGGCACCCCTCTTCTGGCGTCTGTTGCCCTCGTGTTTGGCGGGAGAAGGCAGAGCTGGTGATTAAGGATGTGATCTGCTGGGGGCCAGAAGGACCAATTCCAGTCTGTCCTCGGCACCTTCCCGGCGGAGTGGTCCCTCTGGGCTTCAGTCCCCTTGTCTGTAGAGGGGGATGCTTGCAAGCTCTCGGAGGAGTTAAACACATCAGTGCCCGTCAAGCGCTTGGAGCTGGCCAGGCACCGGGATGATCAGCTCCGGTTTCCTTTGTCAGGTGCTTTATTATTTTTTTTTCCTCAGTCCTTGGCTCCAAGTGAAACAGGTGTCTGCTTTTTAAATCTATTCATAAATTTCTTTTTGTTTCCCTTAAAAACATGCGCTGAACAGAGCAAGGGTCACCCGTGGCTGAGCCAGTGATCTCTCCACGGCTTCTGGGGAGCCCTGTGAGCTGTGGGGGTTGCGGCTGTTGCCCTGAGGTCAGCCTGCAGCTGGCTTTGATGCTTCTCCATCCGGCTGTCTGCCCTGGTCCAGCCCACCAGGGCCAGAGGGCCATCACTCGGTGGGTCAGGAGTGCTCAAAGGAGCCGAGGCTGCTTCCAGGAGGGCCACAGGCGTCACCCCCCAGTTGAGTCCCCCCAGGACTGTCATGGAGTGAGGGGAGGAGGCAGCAGTGGCCCATGGCTAAGCAACCTAGGAGCTATGTGACCTTAGGCAGTTCCCGTAACCTCTCTGTGCCCTGGCTTCCTCATTGATAGCGTAGGAATGATCATGGCATCCACCCACCTGTGGATATGTGCTCAGACATTCAGTCGTGTCCAACTCTGCGGCCCCACGGACCGTAGCCCACCAGGCCCCTCTGTCCATGGGATTCTCCAGGCGAGGATACTGGAGTGGGGTGCTATTCCCTTCTCCAGGGGATCTTCCCGGCCCAGGGATCGAACTCGCGTCTCTTAGGTCTCAGGCATTGGCAGGCAGATTCTTTATTACAAAGGCCACTTGGGAAGCCCCACATGAGGATAAAGTGGTAATAAATTACAGCTTCTTAGACTACGTACGGCCTGAGTTCCAATCCTGGTCCTGCCCCTTACTGTGGGAAGTCACTTAAGCTGTCGTGCCTCAGCCCACCCCCCCCCCATCTGTAAAATGGGAATAGCGATTATCCCACCTCAGAAGGTGATGAGGATACATGAGATAAAACTTGTGAAGCCCCTAGCACCACACTGGCATTTAATCAGTAGGAACTGTTACCGTTATTAACAGGAAAATCTTTTCTAATGAGATGAGTGGAAGGGCCAGGGAGAGAACTTAACATGCGTCCTGGCTCCAGGTACCGCATAACCTCACGGATTCCTCCCACCAGCCCGCGAGGTGGGCACCACCACTGTGCCCAGACTTGGAGAGGAGAAGCGACACGCTCCAGACCCCTTAGCCAGTCGGCAGCAGGTTGAGGCTCTGGACTCCATCCTTTGCATCGAGCCGCCAGTGCCTTCTGAGGTGGGGCCAACCCGGCCAGTTTCGGCAGATCACTGGGTGGGGTGCAAGCGGCAGTGGGTCACTGTGTGCGCTGCTGTGGTTGGACCCAGAGACGACCAGGGGCCCCCCTTCTCTCCACCGGCACTCAGGCCGGGCTGGCCCTGCTGGTGGCCCTGCTGGGCCCTGCTGGTGGCCCAAACTGAACCTCCGCCCAGGATCTAGATTTCCCAGTGGCCCCTCTCAGATGACGAGTGCGCCCTCCTGCAGGCCTGCAGAGCCAGAGGTCAGCCACACCCCATCCACAGCCCCCTGCCCAGCCCCATGCATGGCCCCAGCCCCTCTTCCTTATAGGCGGGACCCTGGCAAAGGCAGAGTAGCCGGGGGCTGACTTCCTTTCCACTTTGTCAAAGCTCAATAGCTCCCTGGGGCCCCAGAGAAACGGAGATAATGAAGGCGAATTAGCACTGCTTTCAAGAGAAATGAAATAGAAAAGAAGCCCACCCACCCGGACTGCAGCCTGGGGCCTGGGGACTGTGTAAGGTCTGTGCTCCGCAAGGCATCTCTCCCTCCTGCCCCCCCCTTGCCCAGCCCGTTTGCTGGATGGGTTGGCATCACTGCGGAAATGAATTTCTCTCTGAAGCGAGTTCTTACAGGACAGATTGACTGAAGGCAAAAGCTCATAATTGCCCATTGCTGGAAGGAGGAGACAGGGAAAAAAAAAAAACAACACCCAGATAAAAATATCTCTGTTTTTTATGCACGTTTCCAGCTGAAAATTGGTGGGAAAGATGTTTTTGAAAAGCCTTCATCTCTAAGCATATAATTACCAGGTCCCGGAACAAAAAAGAGAGAGAGCCGAAGAGAGCAGCCGTGTTCTCTGAGGGAGCAGGACTGGGGTCTGAACCCTCAGAGGGTTTTCTATAAATAAAATAATTCCCTCAAATTCTCCTGCCTGCGCTGGCTGGAGCCAGCGATGGGGGGAGACACCCCCATTTCACAGAGAAATAGAGGCTCAGGTCACACGGTTAACTAGTACTGGCCCTGTCTTGGTTTTTGCTGTAAATGCCGCCTGTCTCCCCCTGACCTGAGGATGTTTGTGAAAGTGGGGGACGGTCCCCACCACACAAGCATCAGTGTACATTGTAGCATTCCTTGTGGGTGCCTTTCTGAAAGTGGCAGGGGTCTTAGGTACCCAGAAGCCCCTTATCTGGCAGTCAGCTGTCCTGAGTGGCCTCAGCTCCCAAGAGAACTCATCAGGGCCACACCCTAAAATGCATGTGCCTTCCCTAAAGAAGAGTCGCTCGTATCCTCGCTTACTGCATGCTGACCCTTTGTCCACACACAGTTGTATGTGTCTCGGTTTGCATCGCACAGCCAGACGCCTGACAGTTAACCCAAAGCCAGCAGACGCCCCCCCCCACCGCCAAGCCCCGCGCCCGGCCTCAGCCGTGACAAGCGTGCCATCACAGCCCAGTTTGGCACCATGTCATTCACTGGAGCAGAATTTGAATATTGGGATGAGGAAAGCGTAGAGAGGTCGTGTTGACGACAAACCACAGAGACACCCCAGGAAATGGATCCTCTGCTTCAGCAGCATCTGCCTCAGAGTCAGCCTGGACCCATTGCCGTTCCTCTGCACTCTGAGGTTCTACGGCTCTGAATTTGGCAAACTTGACTCTCTGCTTTCTTGTCCTTAGATCTTCTCCCCCTTCCTCTGTCTCCAGGCTCCCAAACTTGGAGCCAGTAGGCTTGATGCGAAGTGAAAGTGTTTGTCGCTCAGTCGTGTCCGACTCTTTGCGACCCCAGGGACTGTAGCCCCAGGCTCCTCTGTCCATGGGATTCTCCAGGCAAGAAGACTGGAGTGGGTTGCCATGCCCTCCTCCCAGGAATCGAACCCGCATCTCTTAAGTCTCCTGCATTAGGCAGGCGAGTTCTTTAGCACCCCCTGGGAAGCAAGCTTACCTCAGGCAGCCCAGGAGAGAAGGATTTTCCAGTGGCGGAATCTAATTTGCACGGAACAAGACGTTTTAATTCCAGAATTGCCCACATTGAAATATCAGAGATGTTCACTGTCACGCAGTTGATAGAACCCAGTGTTTTTAATTTGATTAGCTCAGAAACGTCTTGTTGAATCTAAATGAAGTGTGAATGAGGGAACCGTAATAGGAGGCATTATACTTAATGGGGTGTTGCCTGAATCCGTGGCTGCGAATGTGAACACAGGGCCTGGGGTGGTGAGCAAAGCTGCTGGGGGCTGACTCCAGGGGCCCTGGAAACGACTCTGGGCTTAACTGCGGTTTGATTTGTTACTTCCCACCTTCTGGCAAACCCACGGAAGCCTGTCCCCGGTCTGGAGAAACCGTTTCTCAATGGTTAGAGCTGCAGGTGGTGAAGGTTCTCAGGCTTGCTTAGTCCTGGGCTGAGCCCTGACCCCAGGCTGCACTTGACCCTGACCCAGCCTGAGCTCCACCCATGATCTAAACCTTTGATTCTCAATGAGGGGCGGAGTGGGGGTCGGGAGACAGTATTGCTCGCCTCGGGGACACGGGGGTGTCTAGTCGTTTTTGGTTGTGATGATGGCATGGAGCGCTGATGCCCTCTAGTGGCTGGAGGGCAGGGATGCTACTAAACATGGAGCTTACAGCCCCCCCCGGCTCCTCCGTCCGTGGGGTTCTCCAGGCAAGGATACTGGAGTGGGTTGCCATTCCCTCCCCCAGGGGATCTTCCTGACCCCGGGATCGAACCTGGGTCTCTTGTGTCTCCTGCACTGGCTGGCGGGTTCTTTGGCAAAAGCCTGGGGCGTGTACAGGTGCCTGGAGGTGGGCAGGCGGCCCCAGGGGTGGCATGGGAGAGCCACCCCGCTTGAGGGCTTGCCAGTTGACCTGACCCAGCTCTGTCCAGGACTGAGAAGGGACTTGGAGAGGGAATGTGGAAAAAAAAAGAACCTGGTCCAGGGAGCCTGGAGCACGGCGTGGGGTGGACAGCGCAGCCAGGCGTCTCCTGGCTCTTTGCAGAAGCTGCCTCGGCCGAGGGCTGCGTGACCGTGGGCATGAGTCGTCCCTCTCTGAGCCTCAGCTTCCTTCTCTGCACGTGGAATGATGGCTGTAGAGATGGCAGGTCGCTGCGTGGCAGAGAACCGCCCAGACTGTGGTCGGCGCCCCAAAGCGTGTTACTCGAGAGAAGAGATAGCGTTGCCCTCGCGGGGAGAAGCCAGGAGGCCCCCCCAGCGCGTCCCAGGCGGGGCTGCGGGGAGGAGGGAGCCCCTCGGAGGCCGCACCCACGAGGCGGGCGCTTGCCCAGGCAGGAGGGGTTTGCCTGATGGAGATGGCCGTGCAGCTCAGGGCCTTCCCTCTGTTTGCCGCCTGCAGACGATGGGCCTTACACCAAAGGAGGCAAGGACGCCGGAGGGGCTGACGGGGCCCTGGCGTGCCGCCGGCAGAGCATCCCAGGTAAACTGCCCCCTGCTTCCCCTTTCTCTCTGGAGGTACGGAGAGCTCCGGGCGGGGGTCAGACCGCATCCGTCCTGTCTGGCTCTTTGCTGCTCCCAGGACTGTACCACCGGCATCCCCTGTCCTTCACCACCTCCCGGAGTTTGCTCAAACTCATGTCCGTTGAGTCGGTGATGCCATCCAACCATCTCATCCTCTGTCGTCCCCTTCTCCTCCTGCCTTCAATCTTTCCCAGCATCAGGGTCTTTTCTGATGAGGCGGCTCTGTGACCTTAGACTAGTCCCTCAGCCTCTCTGATCCGTAAAAAGGAGACGATTTCACCAGCATCACGCAGCCACTCGCGCGGCTTACCCAGCGTCCGTTTTATTTGTCCTGGAGCCAGGGACTCAGAATTTGCCCCACGCTGCCCGCTCACCCCCTCTCTGTTTGCAGAGGAGTTCCGAGGGGTCACCACAGTGGAGCTGACCAAGAAGGAGGGCAGCACGCTGGGCCTGACCATCTCGGGGGGCACTGACAAGGATGGGAAGCCCAGGGTCTCCAACCTGAGGCCTGGGGGACTTGCGGCCAGGTGAGAAGCCTGGGATTGGGGTGGGGGGCGCGGGCGGAGGGGACGGGGGCCTGGGGCCTCGGCAGAGCAGTGAGAGCCGGGTGTCTGTGGAGGAAGGGCTGGAGGCCACTTCGTTCCCTTTGCTCCGGAGCCAACCCAACCACAGCGCCCCGTGCTCACCGCTCACGGTGAGCCTTCTCACACGCAGAACCCTCTGCCCAGAAGGCCCCTTCCCTAGACACCCTCCTCCTCCTGTGTGTCTGACTCTGTGACCCCACGGACTGCAGCCCCCCGGGCTCCTCTGTCCATGGGACTCTCCAGGCAAGGATACTGGTGTGGGTTGCCATGCCCTCCTGCAGGGGGTCCACCTGACCCAGGGACCAAACCCAGGTCTCTTATGCAGGCAAGCAGATTCTTTACGGCTAAGCCACCAGGGAAGCCCCAGAGACCCTCCTGGCAAATTCCTATTCCTCCCTCCTCACTGCCTCTGGGAAGCCCCCCGAGGCCCCACTCTGCTTGGCTGGCACTTCCGCACACACTGTCTGCATTTCCCTACTGTTTACTTTACCTCGGGGGCTCCCTGGACCATGGAAGTGAAAGTCGCTCAGTCGTGTCTGACTATTTGCGACTCCATGGACTCTACAGTCCATGGCATTCTCCAGGCCAGAACACTGGAGTGGGTAGCCTTTCCCTTCTCCAGGGGATCTTCCCAACCCAGGGATCAAACCCAGGTCTCCCACATTGCAGGAGGATTCTTTACCTGCTGAGTCACAAGGGAAGCCCAAGAATACTGGAGAGGGTAGCCTATCCCTTTTCCAGCGGATCTTCCTGACCCAGGAATCGAACCGGGGTTTCCTGCATTGCAGGCGGATTCAGGTCCATGAAACCTGGGAGTTAGCCTCTGTGTTACTGCCCCTCTGGGCCCAGGAAGAGCTTTAAGGGATAGTAGGCGCGGACACTCTGGCCACTCTAACTGTGAGGGTGACACCCTGCAGGAGGGAAACCTGGCAGACCAGCATCGGGGGGGGGGGGGCGGTGGCGGTGGGGAGAAGGCCAGGCCTGGGTGTCCCCCAGATCTAGGGTAGAATCCGCACTCTCCTACTCACCTGCCAAGTGACCCCCGACCCGGCCTGCCCTCTATGAGCCTCAGTTTCCGCACCTGTGAAATGGGGTCGCAGAGACCACCAGGCTTCCGTGGGCGGGAGGATATGAACGCCAGCGTCTGTTACCCGGTGTGTGCTCTGGCCTCCTCTCTCCCAGGAGTGACCTGCTGAACGTGGGCGACTACATCCGGTCAGTCAACGGGATCCACTTGACCAGGCTCCGCCACGATGAGATCATCACCCTGCTCAAGAACGTGGGCGAGCGTGTGGTGCTGGAGGTGGAGTTTGAGCTGCCCCCGCCCGGTGGGTGCCCTTGGGCTGGGGACCTCCTCCCTGGCCTTGGTCGTGGGTGGACACGGCTGCCTCCGCGCCAGCACCTGGGTCGGGGGGCGGTGGGGCCGTGCCCCCTCGGGTGGGCAGGACCTGGAGACCGGCCACCAACAGCCAGGCCGTTCCCGGGGCTCTGCCTGCAAATGCAGTGCGCTGTCCCCAGGACGTGGCGGGCCCTGTTTATAACACCCTTATCGTCGTGAGTCCTTCATTTCCAGATGCTTCTCCCCTGGGGGGAAGGTTTTAGGAGTGCTGCTGAGCACATCCGTCCCTGCTCTTCCCATACCGTACAGTGGCCTGGGGTGTTTTAGCGCAGCTCTGAGTTTCCAGAGTTGGTCTCAAGTCCTGAAATCAGACCAACTGTCTGGAATTGAGCTCGGGCCTCAGACTGCCAGCCCTGGACTCAAGCTGGAGTTCTGCCGCTGTCTCCATGAGAGCCCAGGCCAGCTCACTCCCCTGTCTAAGTGGAGGCCTGAGTGGGCTTCCGGGAGGACGGTGCCTCCAGGCCTCACTTGTCCTGCCTGTCGAGCGGGGTGGGGGGAGTTGGCCTTTCCTGCAGTGTCTGTGGCTGGCCGCCCGCCTGTCCTGGAACGGACCCTGGGGTCAGCTGCCAGCTTGGGGATGCGACTGAAGAACTCAGGAGGGTCTCCACTTCTCCCCAGCCCCCGAGAACAACCCAGGGATCGTTTCAAAGACAGTGGATGTCTCCCTCTACAAGGAGGGCAACAGCTTTGGCTTTGTCCTCAGAGGTCAGTGTAAGAGTCACTTTTGTGGTCAAGGGACGGGAAGGCTGACGCCAATTCTATGTGTTTTGCTTTGCTCTGATGAATTATAATATATTTATATTTAAATTTAGATAAATAAATGTATATTTAAATTTAAATAAACACATATTTAAATTTAAATAAATAAGCACATATTTATGTAAACATATTTGTTGAAATAAATTCACATTTATATTTAAATAAATAAATAAATATTTATGTTTAAAGAAATTTATACTTATAAATAAATTTATATATTTATACTTTATAATTATATATGAATATATAAATTAAATTTAAATATATAATGTATATGTAATATATATCTATATTATATCTATCTAATATAACTTATATTTTAAATATAGCTTGTATTTATGTAATTATATATATAATAATATGTTTATATTTATATATTTATTTGTATTTATATTTATATGTTTCGGAGAAGGCAATAGCACCCCACTCCAGTACTCTTGCCTGGAAAGTCCCATGGACGGAGGAGCCTGATAGGCTGCAGTCCAAGGGGTCGCAAAGAGTCAGACACGACTGAGCGACTTCACGTTCACTTTTCACTTTCATGCACTGGAGAAGGAAATGGCAACCCACTCCAGTGTTCTTACCTGGAGAATCCCAGGGACGGGGGAGCTTGGTGGGCTGCCGTCTATGGGGTCGCACAGAGTTGGACACGACTGAAGCAACTTAGCAGCAGCAGCAGCATGTTTATATGTTTATATAAATAATTTATAGTTATATAATCTTCTTTCTGACCTTTAAGAACCCAGGATCATTAAATCAAATATTAAATGGAAAACTTGGCCAAGCAATAAAGAGTGCATGGTTGAGGACGTGAAAGGGAAAACTTGTAACAGAAAGTGAAGTTCAGAACTGCCTAGCAACCAGGGAAAAAAGGGAAATTGGATGAGATCACAGGAGAGGAAGCAAGCTGTTTAACCGAGAGAGGACTTTGGTTCTGTTCCCTACTTTCCATCCCACCTCTGGGTGGGATTTCCAGTCCATGTCTCATAGGTGGGGCAGTGAATAGCAGGGACAGAGTCCTGGAGCTGAGGTGATGGAGGAAGCCTGCTTAAGGTCTGGGTCGGGGCCTTGGGGCACCAGGGAGTGGGTGGTGGATGACAGCCGTCTCTTGTCAAATTCTGTCCAGGAGGTGCCCATGAAGACGGGCACAAGTCCCGCCCGCTTGTCCTGACCTACGTGCGGCCCGGTGGCCCTGCCGACAGGTGAGCCTGAGCTGGGGGGAGCTTGCAGCCTCGGCCTGCACTGCCCTCATCCAGCTCCCCGGGGACGAAGGCCGGGGGGACATCAGGCAGGGTCTCCAAGGGGCAAGCTGAGGTCCAGACGGGGGACACCCCCGCCCAGCATCACTCGGCGGCTTGTTGGTGGAGCCAGCCCTAAATCCCAAACGATGGTGTCCCCGAGCTCTTTCTTCCCCAAGATCCTGCTGTCTCGGGGGTGGAGAGCTTCGGTGTGGTGTTCCCCTTCCCTGGCCTTCATTTTCCCATCTGTGGAATGGGCCCAATAGTGAAGCCCCGCAGAGCTGATGCGAGGGATGTGGGGCTTGGTGGTGGGCGTCACTGTGGCCCTCAGTGACACAGCCTTCCCAGTCCAGGCCGCACTGCCGGCTGGCCCTGCCCGGGGCCTTCTCAGAAGCTCCAGGAGGAGAAGGTGAGGGAGGAACACACCCAGCTCTCAGCTCCTAACCCCCCTGACCTCCCAAAGGGCGATTCCTGGCCATTTTAAGAAAAGCCTGGAATGGCCTTGTCAGAAATCTAAACCCGTCCTTGGGGCCTGTGACGAGCTATTCATAGAACCACCCAGAATAGCCTTGGCCACCTGTTGGGGCAGGCATTCCAGAGCTGGGATACGACCCAGGCCGAGGCGAACCCCTTCAGGCCCCTCCCCTGGGACCCAGCTGAATTCCTTCCCAGGCTCGTTTGTCACCAGGCCAGAGTCACTGCTGAGACCCAGGGAGGGGGCCCTGGGCAGGGGACCTGTGTGCAGGCAGCTCCAAGCCTCCAGACAGCCCGCCCCGGTGCTGGGCGGCCCTAGAGGGCTGGGACCCCGGTGAGGCCCTGGAGGTGACCTCAGAGGGCATCTCCAGCTCAGATGCAGGAGGGCTGACCTGGGACTGTGAATTTATTAAGCACTAGATGGTGTTGGGAAAGACTGAAGGCGGGAGGAGAAGGGGACGACAGAGGATGAGATGGTTGGATGGCATCACTGACTCAATGGGCATGAGTTTGGGTGAACTCCGGGAGTTGGTGATGGACAGGGAGGCCCGGCGTGCTGCAGTCCATGGGGTCGCAGAGTCGGACGCGACTGAGTGACTGAACTGACCTGATGAAATTGGGGCGGGGGGTGTCGTCACTGACCCAACCTCTCTCAGTTCTTCGGCTTCTTCCGCGTGCCCTCCCGCATCCGTTCTGCCCCCGGCTCCTTCCTCCGCTCCCTGCCCTCACTCCGTTCTCTTACTCGCTGGACGAGGCGGCGTGACTCGGCCCTTCCCCGCAGGGAGGGCTCCTTGAAGGTGGGGGACAGACTGCTCAGCGTTGACGGGATCCCGCTGCAGGGGGCCAGCCATGCCACGGCCCTGGCCACGCTGCGGCAGTGCAGCCACGAGGCGATGTTTCAGGTGGAGTACGACGTGGCCATCCCGGGTGAGTTGGGGGCCTGCGGGCTCAGGGGGAGGGCACAGGGTAGGGGGCACACACCCCCATCCCTGCAAGGGCTGTGTGACCCTGGCCCAGTCGCGGCCTCTCTGGGCCGCTCTGGGTAGTACACGCTCTGCCAGGCGCCGGGGATCCATCTGAGAACAACACAGATGAGGTATCTCCGTTCCCATGGGGCTGACATCCTGGTGGGGAGAAATGGACCCTGGACGGCATAAGTCACATATAGAGTGTATCAGAAGATGATAAGTGTGCAAAAAAAAAAAAAAATCAGGGAGCGAGATGGGGAAGGCCGGGGGATGCCCCGTAACCTGCGGCCGTGCGGGTGAGTGAAAAGTGAAGGTGGCTGGACCAGGGACTGAGCCGGGGAGTAGAGAGGAGTTAGATCTGGGAAAGATGATGAAGGTCCGCTGGCCTGCTGTGCTGAGGTTTCGACACGTGGGTGGGGATGGGGGTAGAAAGAGCCGGGTTTTGTTTTCCAGCCACTGGGTGGGTGCGTGGGGTGCTGTTTTCTGAGATGGGGAAAGCTCGTAGTGAAACCCCACAGTTCATGCATACAGTAGGCTCTTGATGCTTGAGTGCTAAGTCGCTGCCATCATGTCCAACTTTTTGTGACTCCATGGACCGTAGCCCGCCAGGCTCCTCTGTCTATGGGATTCTCCAGGCAAGAGTACTGGAGTGGGTTGTCATGCCCTCCTCCAGGGGATCTTCCCGACCCAGGGATCAAACCTGCATCTCTTTATGTCTCCTGCGTTGGCAGGCGGGTTCTTTACTGCTAGCGTCACCTGGGAAGCCCAGGCTCTCAATATATATGTGTGAGCAAATTAGTACTGTTCGGCAAAGCCTTGGGCTCAGAGCCTCTCTGAAACCTGAATTCCTGCCCCTCCTCTGCCTCTGAATGGCCATGTGAACTTGGACAAGGGCTTTGCCTCCAGGCGCCTCAGTTTTCTTGTCTGTAAAGTGGATGCAGTGATCCCTCCCTGGCAGTGAGGTTTAAGCTGAGACGGAGGAAGGTGCTGAATATTTATTTGCATCTCAAACTCCTCTTTCCTTCCATGTACCAGACACAGTGGCCAACGCTTCGGGGCCCTTGATAGTGGAAATCACCAAGACGCCAGGGTCAGCCTTGGGGATCTCGCTCACCACCGGCTCCCACCGGAACAAGCCAGTCATCACCATCGACCGCATCAAGCCTGCCAGCGTGGTGGACAGGTGGGGCACCTGCTGGGAGCTGCCGTGGTGTGCTGGGGGTGGTGCAGGGGGAGAGTCGTCTAGAGCTGTGTGGCTGTACCCTTTTCCCTGTGCTCCCCAACCCGGCCAGGAGCGGGGCCCTGCATGCCGGAGACCATATCCTATCCATCGATGGTACCAGCACTGAGCACTGCTCGCTGCTTGAAGCCACCAAGCTCCTGGCCAGCGTGTCGGAGAAGGTGCGGCTGGAGATCCTGCCTGCGCCCCAGAGTCGGCGGCCCCTCAAGCCCTCAGAGGCAGGTGAGTCCCCTGCAGACCTCAGGGCTCAAATCTGCAGGCTAACGGGCAGGCTAGCATTTAGCAGAGCAAATGTCCAGTCCCACAGGGATGCTCAAAGTGTCAAGTGCAGCAGCTAAGGGTGGGGCGGTAGGGCGGATCAATAACCTGGGTGTTTAAATGGCAACCCACTCCAGTATTCTTGCCGGGAAAACCCCATAGATGGAGGAGCCTGGTGGGCTACTATCCATGGAGTCACAAAGAGTCAGACAGGATTGAGCAACTAACACTTTCACACTTTCTGATCTGACAGTTTGCTGGCGTGGATACCCTCAAAGCTAGTTCCATCACTGGTCGCATTAATAGAAGTATGAGGGCTAGAACAAGGGAGGGGATAGTCCTTCTGTGCCCTGTGCCACTCAGAATTTGGACCCGTGGGCTCACCTCAGGGCCCTCAGCAGGTCCAGAGGAGGCAGCCAAGCAGTCAGGAGGGCCTAGAGCCGCCCCTGTGAGTCCCTCAGATGTCCCAGTGCCTGTTCTCCCACCCCCGGCTCTGCTGCTGGGGCTTCCCAGGGGTCATCTGGGTATGCCCCCGTGACATATCTACGAGGTTGGTATGGAGGCTCTGAGGGTCCGTGCAGTGCAGGTCCTTCTGATGACACTTGGCTGCCGACAGTCCCCTTGGCTCTCCCTAAATACACGTCTGCCAAGCCCATGTGTTAACTCCTTCTGTCCTCCCAGCTTCCCTAGGAGGTCCTTGTCCCATTTGACAGTTACTACAATGAGGCCCAGGACGGGGCTGAGGGGCTTGTCCCAGTCCCGCAGCTGGTCAGTGACAGAGCCAGGATTGGACTCGGCTCCTGGCCCCAGGGTCGGGCCAGCCCCCAGCTGGCGGTGGGAACGCCGCACAGGGAGGCGGAATCAATAGGCTGAGATCACAGGGACCTCGTCCGTCCATCCAAGAGCATGCTGTCCCAGGCTGGACATCCCCCTGCAAAGTCCTGCAGCAGAAGGAAGAACCAGAACGGGCTCTGGGGAGGAGGACCCGGTCGGGGAGGTGAGAGAGGCAGGGTCCGTGGGCTCCCCAGGGAAGCAGGTGCTTAGCTGGAGTCAAGAGTTCACTGAAGCTGAGGCCCGTGAAAGGTTGAGGGGGACAGCCTTAGACTGCGATGCAGGTCCTTGCAAGCCTGGGCCAATCCAGCAGAGACCCAGGTGGCCCCCCAAAGCCCAGCGTGGGGCAGAAACGCCCGGCCCTGGTGCCCTGCTTGCCCAGCCCCAGGCCGAGGCTGCCCACCCTACAGCGTGACCTCAGTCTCTGGAGTTGCTCCAGCTGGTCACTGTCTGCCAGCTGCACTCCGTGGAGCCGACCGGCCGGTTTGTGGGCTCCAGAGCCAGTTGACTTAGTCCACTTCCTGCTCCTCCAGCCCTCCCAGCTGTGGGCCTCGGTCTGGTCCATCTTTCCCTCTCAGATCCCTGCCTCTCGGGCTGCTACATGGCTGAGCCCTGAGCACAGGGCCTGGCACACAGTGGGCGTCCGGGACATGTGGGCAAAGTCTTGAATGCCCGGCCTGCCTCGGGAAACTCCAGACCGCTCTCCTCCCCTCGCTGGGCAGATGGAGCTCATCCTCCAGGGGTGTGGAGGTCCAGCCCCACCCAGCCCCTAACGCCTGTCTCTCCTCTTCCTCCGCTGCAGTGAAGGTGCAGAGGAGCGAGCAGTCGCATCGCTGGGACCCCTGCGTGCCCTCCTGCCACAGCCCCCGGCCCGGCCACTGCAGGACGCCCACCTGGGCCGCCCCTGCCGGCCAGGACCAGAGCCGCTGTAAAGTGCCCTCCCCGCGGTCACTCTCCTCTGTCCCTGGGGAGGGGCTGGAGCCTGTTTTATAGGGAAGGGAACCGAGACTTCGAGAAGTGAGGGGCCCCTGTCTGGGTTTCACCAGGTCTGTGAAAAGCTTGTAAGCTTTGAGGCCCAGAGAGGGAGAGACGGGCCTGAGGTCACACAGCAAGCATGGTGGTGGGCGGGGGAGGCACCCCTGTGTCTCCCTGGGGCGGGGTGGAAGGCCCTGCTGGGCTCATGGGTCTGTGCTTTCTTCTCCCCAGCCTTGTCCTCATCTCCCTTCTCCTCGCCTGTGAACCACGCCTTTTCCTGCACCAACCCCAGTACCCTCCCTCGTGGATCCCAGCCCATGAGCCCCCGGGCCACAATGGGGCGGAGGCGGCCGCGGAGAAGGGAACACAAGAGTTCATGTAAGCCGTGGTCTCTTCTTTCCCCTCTGGGCTGCCGCTATGCCTGAAAGAGAGATTTGCCGAAGTGTGGGGTATCCGGGGCAGGGCCAGGGGTGGGGAGGTGGCATTACCTAGCGTATGTGGTACACTAGGTTGCTGCGGATGGTTGGGCAGGTTGTGCACTGCACAAGGGCTCTCCTGGGGGGTGACAGTGACTTTGTACACTGTCTTGTATTTTTATTATGAAAAATTCCCAGGAGGTGCTCAGCTGTGTCTGACTCTTTGCCAGCCCACGGACTATACATATGCAATCCATGGAATTCTCCAGGCCTGAATACTGGAGTGGGTAGCCTTTCCCTTCTCCAAGGGATCTTCCCAACCCAGGGACTGAACCCAGGTCTCCCACATTGCAGGCGCATTGCAGGCAGATTCTACCAGCTGAGCCACAAGGGAAGCCTTTATTATGAAAAATTCCCAGCAGGTGGTGCCAAAGTGTCTTGAGGAAAGGCTGCCTTTTTCAGATTTGTGCGAAGGTCTCAGAGTAGCTCTCTTTCATTTTTCTCTCCTTCAACCCTCTGATCCATTCCAGGGTGTGGTGTTACTTTGTCTTTACCACGTTTCTGACATTTGTTAACTTTCCCTAAGACAGTAACACAACAGGCCTGAAACTAGCCATCCAGCATATAGTAAGTGTTAGTTTTATTAGGTATATATTTCTACTCAACTTTTGCTCATAGACATTTCTCTTTATTTGTAATCACTATATATAATTCATTTTGAAATGAGGGTATTTAAGTATTTTTTATTTAAAAATTATAAAAAATTGTTTAGTTTTTATTTATTTGACTGCGTTGGGCCTTAGTTTCAGCACATGGGACCTTTTGTTGTGGCACACAGATCCTCTCTCTCGTTGTGGTGGGTGGGCTCAGCAGGCGTGGTGCACAGACCCCGTTGTTCTGCAACATGTGGGGTCTTAGCTCCCTGACCAGGGATTGAACCCATGTCCCTTGCATCACAAGGACCACCAGGGAAGTCCCTTAAGTATTTTTTTAAAATGAATAGTAATGAATGATAATGCAGGAGACATGTGGAAGTAGCAAAAAGTCATGATTGCCCAGGATTTTTTTTTTTTTAATATTTATTTATGTGGCTGCCCCAGGTCTTAGTTGCACCATGCGGGATCTAGTTCCCTGACCAGGGATCAAACCCAGGCCCCTTGCATTGAGAGTGCTGAGTCTTAGCCATTGGACCACCAAGGAAGTCCAGGGCCCTGAATTTTGAAATCTTGCCTGGGAAGAATCTTTCCTTTGTTGAGGTAGAGAGTGTTCCCAGCCTCCTTCCATGTGAACTGCAGAGGCCTCCAGGAAGAATGAAGGGTCAAACTGGGCCATTTAGGATTGAACCAGGTGAGGGATGAGAGAAATATAAGTCAGTTTGGCACTAAAAAGGCGCTAAGCATGTTTATGAGCTTCCTGGCAGCCAAGGCAAAAAGAGAAACAATTCAGAGTCAGATGATAGATAAAATACAACTTTACCAACCACCATTGTCACCCACTGAAGCAGCGGGTAAGTAGGTGAGAAGATTCAGAAATATTTTTCACAGGCAGGAGGTTATGGAGCCTGGAGACTCTTGGGACCTCCTTACCTTGATGATAATGATTAATTAGTTAAATAAAAATTTTTCAATACTTCCAGTGATCCAGATACCATTTTTAGCATTGGTGATGTAATCATGAAAAAAAAAATGAGTAGAAATATAATAACACAATATATCCAACAATAAAGTATGTTACACATATTATAATATGTGATACATAATAATATAAGAAAATAATATATAAAGACACAATGGTATAACTAATAGAATGACATATAAGTTTTATTTAATAAATGATATCCAATATCCATATTAATAATATAAATGTATTTATATGTGGAATATAAAATATGTTAAATAACATATTAAATAGTTAAACATGGAGTTATCATATGACACAGAAATTCCACTCTTAAGTAAATACCCAAGAGAAATGAAAACTGTATCATATTCACCCCAAAACATATTTATGAATGTTTATACAGTGTCATTCATAATATTCAAAAGGTTGGAATAACCCAGATGTCCATTGATGGATGAATTTTTAAAAATGCGGTATCATCATACAGTGGGATATTAGCCTCAAGGAGGACATTTTGATCTATGCTACATAAATGAACCCTGAAAACATGCTAAGTGAAAGAAACCACATTCAAAAGACCATTTATAGTATGATTCTGTTGATATGAAATGTCCAGAACAGGCAAATATTAGACATAGAAAGTATGCTTAGGGCTGGGAGAGAGGGGAGGATTTGAGTGACTAATGGAAACAGGGCTTCTTTGAGGGACTGAAAATGTTCTAAAATTAATTAAGGGGATAGTTGTACAACTTGGATATACTAAATAATCAATATATTTACTAAAACCCATTAAATTGTACACTCTGTGGGTGAATACTGTGGAAGCTGAACTATATCTCAATAAAGCTGTTGCCAAAAATGGCATAATACATACTATCGCATCTAATAGTAATATAATGTGATATTTGATATATGATACTATAATAAAATAAATTGAAGTATAACATCACACAGGGCTTCCGTGGTAGCTCAGTGGTAAAGAATCCACCTGCTAACACAGGAAACGGGTTTGATCCCTGGGTCGGGAAGATCCCCTGGAGAAGGGCGTGGCAACCCATTCCAGTATTGTTGCCTGGGAAATCCCAGGGACCGAGGAGCCTGGCGGGCTACAGCCCATGGAGTTGCAAGGAGTAGGACACGCCTTAACGACTGAGCGCGGCATAACATCACACAACATCACGGACCCTCAGAGCCTGTTGTATAACATGGCGTTCCAGGGGCTGCCTTCCTGGATGCTGGGCTCAGCTCTGCCGGGTGGAACCCAGGACCCCAAGGTTCAGAATGGGCCGCGACTTGGCCCCGCCCCGGGTCGGGTCGGGCCTCCCACTCACGTGCCCTCTCCGACTCCAGGTCCCGCCGAGGGTGGGTGGGCTCTGGCAGGAAGTTCCCCCGGCACAGTGCCCTGAGCGCCGTGCCCGCCTGCCCCGCAGTGTCGCTGACCTCCAGCACGGTGGGGCCAGGCGGCCAGATTGTGCACACGGAGACCACGGAGGTCGTGCTCTGCGGAGACCCTCTCAGCGGCTTCGGCCTGCAGCTCCAGGGCGGCATCTTCGCCACCGAGACCCTGTCCTCCCCACCCCTCGTGCGTTTTATTGAGCCTGACAGCCCGGCGGAGAGGTGAGCCTACTGCCCACTCCTCGTGGGCCTGCCACTCTCCGAGTCGGGGGGTGGACAGCCGGGGGAGTCCAGTCACATTTTAGCCTGGCTGCACAGGTGCATCTCACCAGCCATCACGGTCCACCCCGTCGCCGGCCCCGTTTTGTAGACGAGGGGTCTGAGGCTCAGAGAAGCTGATTCACCTGCCCAGGGTCACACAGCTTGGGAGTGACCCATGACACGAACCCCAGTGTGGTCTGAAGTCCGAGTCCTGTGTATACATCTCCTGAGGCATGGCATCATCCCCACGGGACAGGGGAACTGAGGTCCAGCGAGGGCATCCCTTATAGCCAGTGTCCCAGATAAACGGCCCGAGGAGGGGCAGCGGGCGCGGGGCGGGGCGCAGCGCTACCAGCCCCGCCCCGCCCCGCCCCGTCCCGCCCGGATGTGGGCGGGGCCTGGCCCTGCTCCTGCGCAGCAAGACCCTGGCTTCCAAAGGGGCCGCTTCTCTGTCTGGTTCAGGTGTGGGCTGCTGCAAGTAGGGGACCGCGTCCTGGCCATCAACGGCATCGCCACCGAGGACGGGACGATGGAGGAGGCCAACCAGCTGTTGCGGGACGCGGCGCTAGCCCACAGGGTCGTGCTGGAGGTGGAGTTCGACGTGGCCGGTGAGTGGGTACCTGCGGCTTCCTCGTCTCCTTCGCGACCCCCTACTCCCTCCTTTCTTCACCCTGCTCCCCCTCTCCCGCCCTGCTTCTTCCCGCGTTTGCAGCGTGTCCCCAGAACGCTGGGAGAAAGGCAGGGGGCGGGAGTGAAGGACTTGCACAAGCCAGTGTGGATGAGGACTTTTTCAAGGGAACAGGAGCCGCGGGTGGGGGAGGTGAGGGTTTATGCAAAGATCCCCAAACAACTCGGTTAGAATTCTGGTTCCTGATTTGGACACCTTGTGGCTTCGGACAGGGCCGGTCCTCCTCCAGCCTCAGTTTTCCCCAGTGTGAAAGCAGTGTAAAGTGGATAGAATCCTCTATCACAAGGGGTGTTGTTGAGATCAGATGAGATGAAGCTCCTGGAAGCACCAGCTGGGGTCTGGCATGTGAGAAGCGCCCTGTAAATCCTTGCTGGATCCGAATGGCTTGGGGCGGGCCAGGGGGCCCCAGTGGCAGCTGTAGGTCAGGGTACCAGTCCTGTCTCTGCTCTGACCCCGTGGGTGCTTGTCTGGAACAAGTCAGTGCAGCATGCCTCAGTTTATTCTGTGGGTAGAAGAAGCAGGATGGGGTTGTGTTTGGCATCCCTCTCCACTGGACCAGAATGAGTGTGGGGTGCGGACTCCCTGAGGCTATTCTCTTGAGTCTCCTGGGTTTGTGTCTGTTTGCACCCAGAGTCGGTCATCCCGAGCAGCGGCACCTTCCATGTGAAGCTGCCCAAGAGGCGAGGCGTGGAGCTGGGCATCACCATCAGCTGTGAGTCCCCATCCCACATGCCCTCCAGCCTGCCCCAAGAAAACGCCCAGCACGAGGCGATCAGGGGAAGGCGCTGGGTGGGAGGGGCGGCTGGCTGACCTGGCTTTCCTCTGTCTGCAGTGCATGTCCTCAGGCAAGGCTTCTGGAAGCCTTGGTTTTCTGTTCTTCACAATGGGAGTCTCCTGGCCTATTTAGTCTCCAGGGTTGGTTTTAGTCTCTGAGGCACCAGTCACGTGACCCAGGTTTGGTTTTTCTGTTGCCTCTGTATTCCCAGGACCCAGGACAGGCCTGGAACATAGTCAGTGCTTAATTCATGTTTGTCAAAGGAATGAAAGTGAGGGACTGCAGAATGGAAAGAAGAAGGTAGAATACACAAACAGAGGAATGGTCACAGACCCTCCCCCAGCCCTCATCTCACTCCAGAAAAGCTGAAGTCCTCTGACTTTGTGCGTGCGTGCATGCGAAGTCGCTTCAGACGTGTCCAACTCTTTGAGACCCTTTGGCCTGTAGCCTGCCAGGTTCCTCTGTACTTGGGATTCTCCAGGCAAGAATGCTGGAGTGGATTGCTATGCCCATCTCCAGGGGATCTTCCTGACCCAGGGATCAAACTCGCATCTCCTGTGGCTCCTGCATTGCAGGTGGATTCTTTACCGCTGAGCCACTGGGGGAGCCCCCTCTGACTTCATCTCCTGCCATCTCTCCATCACACCCTGGAGGAGCAGCTGTCCAGAAGGGCTGGTGCTGCAGCTCCTTCCTGCCCCAGACCCCCCAGTCAGTGGTGGTGGAAATTGAAGCAGCCAATGGGGAGAAGGTGTTTCCAGCCCAGGGACCTCTGGGCAGGGCCACCAGGTGCAGTTGTGCAGGTTGTACATGACACAAGGTGCCCATTCAAGGTAGACTTAGATTTTTCTGACATTTTCTCAACAGACTAATTAGACGGGGCTCCTTTGTCTCATTTGCAAAGATGCTGTTTGGGCTAGAGGGACCGCCTTATACCTGGTCATTCATGGGAAAACCCATTAACCCAAATGGATTCTTTCTGCAGGAAAACTCAGCCACCCGTTGTCTTAGGTCGTGTTCCCTGGGAAATAGTCTCCCACAAGGAGTGATGTATACGGGCCTTTTGAGGAGGGCTCTTAGGATCAACACCTGTGGGCCGGAGACTGTAGGACCAGGCAGTGGGAGGAGCTAGGCTGCGATGTAGTCCCAATAGAGGGCTCCCCCAATCTTCTTCGTTGGGGAGGCTGCGGGAGCTGAGGCTCCCCTGGTGGGTCAGACAGTAAAGGATCTGCCTGCCAATACCGGAGATGTGGGTTCAATCCCGGTATCAGGAAGATCCCCGGGAGAAGGGAATGGCTACCCACTCCAGTACTCTTGCCTGGAGAATTCCATGGACAGAAGAGGCTGGTGGGCTACAGTCCGTGGGGTCGCAAAGAGTCGGACATGACTGAGCGGCTAATACTATCACTTTCTGCGGGAGTTGTCCTGCATAGAGGCTGGGAGCCGGGGCTTGGCACCGCTGCGTGGACTGGTCGATGGGTGTAGACACTGTCTCGGGTGAGGCTGCTCCCTCAGCCAAAGGCCATTCCCCAGCAGGATCCCGCTGTAGTGTTCGCAGCCAGCATTCCCTGCAGCGGGCAAGGAGGAACTCGGCTGGTTCTGGAACCTGGCCCTGTGTGTGCCCATTGCTGGGGACACGGATGCCAGCCAGACTCAGCGCCTCAGGGAGCTCCATGTGCTGGAGAGCCAGCTGAGCATGGGAGGTGTTGTCCTGCTTCGTCTCGGTAATCTGGGCTGTCCCCGTGAACTCTGTGGTCTCATCCCCACTTTACAGAGGGGAAACTGAGGCAGAGAGGGGCGCTGATTTGCTCACAGTCCACCCAGCCAGGGAGCCACGGGAAGCAGGGCATGGGGCTCCGCGTCCACGCCCAACTCCTGGGCCCCTGAGGCCGAGGTGGCCAAGGATGGGCTCTTGGCTTCTTTCCCCCAGCGGCCAGCAGGAAGCGAGGGGAGCCCCTGGTCATCTCCGACATCAAGAAAGGCAGCGTGGCGCACAGGTGGGGGAGCCCCTGGCAGGGCAGGGGGACTGGCCCACGGGGGTGGCCTGGGCGCCTGGTGTGCCCAGCTTCTCATGTCCCCTCCCTGATCCTGCAGGACCGGCACCCTTGAGCCGGGGGACAAGCTGCTGGCCATTGACAACATCCGCCTGGACAACTGTCCCATGGAGGACGCTGTGCAAATCCTGCGCCAGTGTGAGGACCTGGTGAAGCTAAAGATCCGAAAGGATGAGGACAACTCGGGTGAGGGCCCTGATCTCCACCCACCCACGCCAACCAGACACAGAACCCAGCTGGCAATCTGGTGCTCCCTCCGGCCAAGGAGGGAGCATGGTGGATGCCACCCAGGGGCTGCTGGTGGAGACCCTTTGAATGAAGATGCGGAGTGGAGGCGGGGAGGATGGCAGATGTGTCCCTGTTCCCAGGTCTGGTCTTCTCCAAAGGCCCTTGTGAGGTCTGCTAGAGTTTGAGTGAGACTTGGATCCAACAGGCCCTGCCCAAAGCTGCTGGGCGCAGATGCCTGGGTGTGACGATGAATGGGTGGGGGTGGGGGATGTACCACTGCCTGGGTGGCTGTGAGTAAGCTGAGGCTGCACACTCAGGCGCGTCTGGGGCTGGACAGGTGACAGAGTGAGTGAACTGGGCTGAAGCTGGGAAAAATGGCTCAGTCTGGGTAGACAGAGGGAAAGGGAGAGGACTATGGCACTGGCAAGAATCTTGTCCAGAAGGGCTGCCCCCAACTCCCACCCTGGGAAGGAGGATCACTTGTGGGCAGATTTCAGAGTTTTTAAGAAAAACGGGAAATCTGGTGTCGTCTTATAGTCGGTATCATCACCACCATCACTATCCTTGTTGTTCTGCGTGGTGCGTGAAATCTTTATTATAAAAATGCTGGTTCAGTATTTCTGCTCTTATTGAAATAGCGGTTTGGGTGGAATGAAACATCGTTGGAAGCAGAAGATGGCTTCACGTGGTGCCATCTGAAGTCCTCCCATGGGGGAAATGGGTGTGTTCATGGCTGAGGGAACAGGTGGATTAATGACTGATGGAATGTTTGAGTTAATGGCTGAGGAAATAGATGTATTAATAGCATGAAGCAATGGGTGTATTCATGGCAGAGTGAAGGGATGATATAATGGCAGAGTGAATGGCTGCATTAATGGCTGGGGGAATCGGTGTAATGAATGGAATTAAGGAATGGGTGAGTTCATGGCTGAGAGAACGGGTGTATTAAAGGCATGAAGCACTGAGTATAGTAATGGCGGAGGAATAGTGAAATAATGCCTGAGAGGAGGGGTGAATTAATGGAGAGGAAATGGGTGAAGTAGTGGCCTAGGGAATGGTTATATTAATGGCTTGACAGCATGGGTGAATTAGTGGCATGAGAGAATGGGTGAATTAGTGACATGAGGCAGTGGGTGACTTGGTGGCTGAATTAGTGGCTGAAGGAATCTGTACTAGAGCTGAGAGAATGGGTATATGAATGGCAGAGGGAATGGGTGAATTGACAGCTGAGGGAATGTTTGAAAAATGGCTGAGGGGGAATGGGTGACATAATGGCTGAGGCGGTGGCTCCATGCTGGCTCAGGGAGTGGGTGAACTAATCACTAAGAGAACATGTTGTTCAGGCATGAGAAAATTGGTGTGTTGATGGCTGAGGGAATGGCGAATTAATGGCTGAAGGAATAGGTGAGTTAATGATTCAGGGTTTGGGTAAATTAATGATTGATGGATTGGCTGAATAAGTGGTAGAGAATTAGTGGCTGAAATGATGGGTGAATTAGCGGCTGAAGGAATGGATAAACTACGGGTTTGGCGATCTGTGACTAAAGATTGAGATAACAGTGAACTAATGGTTGAGTGAATGGATTTATCAGTGACATAGGGAAAGAGGGTATTCATGGCATGAGGACATGGGTGAACTAATAACTAGACAGTCAGTGTGTTAGGCATTAGGGAATTGATATATTAGTGGCTGAGGAAGTTTGTGAATTCATGGCTAAAGGATTGACTGAATTAATGGCTAGGGAATGGGTGAATTAATGGATGGAGGAATGTGTATTAATGGTTGGAAGAACTGGTGTATCAAAGGCTGTGGAAATGGCTCAGATAATCGCTGAGGAATTGGCTGAGTTAATGGCTGCAGGATTGGTTGAATTAATGACTAAGGGACTGGCTGTATTAATGGCTGAGGGAATGGATGAACTAATCGCTTAAGGAATCTGTATTAAGCATGAAAGAACTGGTATATTAGGGCTGATGAAAGAGGTGAAATAATGGCTAAGGGATTGACTTAATTAATGGCTGATGGAATGGGTGAATTAATGGTTGAGAGAATATGTGCATTAGTGGCTGATGCTATTATTAATGGCTGAGAGAATAAGGGATTTACTGGCTGAAGAAATAGTTTAATGGCCAAGAGAATGTGTAAAAATGTCTCAGATTGGCTGAATTAATGGGTGAGAGATTTCACAGGAAACAGGTGAATGTGACTGATGGAATGAATGAACTAATGGCTAAGGTAAAAAGGTGATTTAATGATGGCAGGACTGGGTGAACTGGGGGCTTATGGCTGAACCCAACAGCAGAAAGAATGGGTGATTCAACAACTTAAGGAAATGGGTTAGTGGCTGAGATAATGGGAAACTAATAGCTGAGAGAATGGATGAATTAATAGCCGATGGAAAGTTTGTATTAGGCCTGAGGGAATGTGTAAATTAATAGCATGAGGAAATGTGTGTTAATGACTGAGGGATTGGTTGGCTGAAAGAATGCCTGAAATATGGCTGAGGGAATGGGTGAATTAATGGATATAGGAAAGTGTGTCTTAATGACGGAGGGAATTAGTGTATCAAAGATTAAGGGAGGCCTCTTGCCTTCCGAGATGGCCCACCCTCTGTGTGGAGTGTTTCTCCCAGAGTTGCTCACACTTTTTGAGATGGACCACACTCTGTCTATGGAATGTGTATCCAAATAAATCCACTTCTTACCTGTTGAAAAAAATAGGCTGAGGGAATGCCTGAATTTATGGCTGAGGAAATAGTTGAAATAATACCTGAAGGAATTGGTGAACTAATCACATGAGGTTATGAGGAAAATAATGGTTGAGCAAGTGGGTGAAATAATTCCTGAGGGATTGGATGTATTAGGCCTGGCAGAATTGTTGTATTACTGGCTGAGAGTATGGGTGAATTAATGGCTGAAATAACGGATGAATGAATGGCTGAGGGTATAGGTGAATTAGTGGCTGAAGGAATGGGTGAATGAATGGCTGAGGGAAGTGGGGGATTAATGGCTTCAGGAATGTGTGATTTAGAGTGTAGGAATTGGGTGAGGATATTTTTATATGGCATGAGGATATGGCTGTATTAATGGCCGTGGGAATAGATTAATGCCTGAGGGAATGGGTGAATTAGGGCTGAGAGAATGCCTGAATTAATGGCTGACGAAATGGATGAATTAATGCATGCGGGTGTGTGGTATTATAGGTTGAAGGAATTGGTGTATCAAAGACTGTGGGAATGACAGAAACAATGCTGAGGGACTGTTTGAATTACTGGCTGAATGAATGGTGGAAATAACAGCTGAAGGAATGGAAGAACTAACATGAGTTCAGTGCAGTTCAGTTCATTGTCGTGTTCGACTCTTTGAGACCCCACGGACTGCAGCACACTAGTCCCTGTCCATCACCAACTCCTGGAGCTTGCTCAAACTCATGTCCGTTGAGTCAGTGATGCCATCCAACCATCTCATCCTCTGTCGTCCCCTTCTCCTCCTGCCTTCAATCTTTCCCAGCATCAAGGTCTTTTCAAATAAGTCAGTTCTTCGCATCAGGTGGCCAAAATATTGGAGTTTCAGCTTCAGCATCAGTCCTTCCAATGAATATTCAGGATTGATTTCCTTAGGGTTGACTGGTTATCAATCAATATCCTGAGGTTATGGGTAAAATAATGATTGTGTGAGTGGGTGAATTAATTCCCGAGAGATTGAGTGTTAGACCTGGGGGAACTGGTGTAGTAATGGGTGAGGGCCTTGGACTGTGTGGATCACAGTTAACTGTGGAAAATTCTGAAAGAGATTGGAATACCAGACCACCTGACCTGCCTCTTGAGAAACCTGTATGCAGGTCAGGAAGCAACAGTTAGAACTGGACATGGAACAACAGACTGGTTCCAAATAGGAAAGGAATATGTCAGGGCTTTATATTGTCACCCTGCTTATTTAACTTATATGCAGAGTACATCATGAGAAATGCTGGGCTGGAGGAAGCACAAGCTGGAATCAAGATTGCCGGGAGAAATATCAATAATCTCAGATATGCAGATGACACCACCGTTATGGCAGAAAGTGAAGAAGAACTAAAGAGCCTCTTAATGCAAGTGAAAGAGGAGAGTGAAAAAGTTGTCTTAAAGCTTAACATTAAGAAAACTAAGATCACGGCATCTGGTCCCATCACTTCACGGCCAATAGATGGGGGAACAGTGGAAACAATGGCCGACTTTATTTTTCTGGGCTCCAAAATCATTGCAGATGGTGACTGCAGCCATGAAATTAAAAGATGCTTACTCCTTGGAAGGAAAGTTATAACCAACCTAGACAGCATATTAAAAAGCAGAGATATTACTTTGTCAACAAAGGTCCGTCTCGTCAAGGCTATGGTTTTTCCAGTGGTCATGTATGGATGTGAGAGTTGGACTATAAAGAAAGCTGAGCGCCAAAGAATTGATGCTTTTGAACTGTGGTGTTGGAGAAGACTCTTGAGAGTCTCTTGGACTGCAAGGAGATCCAACCAGTCAATCCTAAAGGAAATCAGTCCTGGGTGTTCATTGGAAGGACTGAATTTGAAGCTGAAACCCCAATACTTTGGCCACCTGATGCGAAGAGCTGAGTCATTTGAAAAAACCCTGATGCTGGGAAAGATGGAAGGCAGGAGGAGAAGGGGATGACAGAGGATGAGATGGTTGGATGGCATCGCCGACTCAATGGACATGGGTTTGGGCAAACTCTGGGAGTTGGTGATGGACAGGGAGGCCTGGCGTGCTGCGGTTCATGGAATTGCAAAGAGTCAGACACGACTGAGAGACTGAACTGAACTGATACAGGTAAATTCATGGCTGAGGGTATTAGTGAATGACTGAGGCAATGAGTGAATTAGTGGCTCAGGTATTAGCTGAGTTAATAACTGAGGAATGCCTGATTTAATAGCTGAGGGAATTGGGGTGGAGGCACTTGACTCCATTAATGACTGAGGAAATGGTGTATTGAAGGCTGAGGGAATGGTTGAATTAGGTGCTGATGGAATAAGTGTATAGTGGCCGAAGAAATAGGTGCACTAATTTTTGTGGAAAAAGGTGAATTAATGGCTGAGCAACTGGGCAAAGTTATCGTTAAGAGGACGAATGTATTAAAGGTGGGGGAATTGGTGTGTTAATGTTTGAAGGTATAGCGAACTAATGGCTGACTGGGTGAATTAATGGCTCAGGTATTGGCTGATTTAATAGCTAAGGAAAAGGGTGAATTACTGGAGGCAGGATGGGTGAATTAATGGATGTAGGAATTGTGTATTAATGACTGAGGGAATGGTGTATTAAAGGCTGAGGGAATGGGTGAACTAATGGGTGTGGAATGGATTAATTAATGGCTGAGGGAGAGGTTGAACTAATTCCTAAGGGAATGAGTGAATTAATGGCTGAGGATATGGGTGAACTAATCTCTGAGCAAATGGTTATGTTAGGCATGAAAGAATTGGTATATAATGACTGACGGAATAGTTGAGTTAACAGCAGATAACATGTGAAACAGGGGCTTCCCTAGTAGCTCAGATGGTAAAGAATCTGCCTGCAGTGTGGGAGCCCCAAAGTCCGATCCCTAGGTCGGGGTGATCCCCTGGAGAAGGGTATGGCAACTGACTCCAGTGTTCTTGCCTGTAGAATCCGATGGACAGAGGAGCCTGGCAGGCTACAGTCCACGGGGTCCCAAAGAGTTGACATGACTGAGCAAGTAACATGCACAATGTGTGAAACAATAGCTGAGGGATTGGCTGAATGAAGGGCTCTGGGAATGGGTGATTTAACGTCTCAGTGAACAGGTGAATTAATATTTGAGGATATGGGGAAGGAATGGCTCAGAGAATGAGTGGAGTAATTCCTGAGGGAATCAGTGAATTAATGGCTGAGGGAATGGATGAATGAATAGCTGCGGGAATAGGTGTGTTAGTAGCTGAAAGAATGGGTGAACTAATGTATAAGAAAAGGCTGATTTAATGGTGGAGAGAATTGGTGAATTAGTAGCAGAGGAAATTGAAATTTGTCAGTTAAAGCTGAGAGAATGGGTGAACTAAATGCAGAATTTATGGGTGTATTAGTGGATGAGAGAATGGGTATGTTAATGGATGAAACAATGGCTGAAGTAAAAGGCTGAGGGAAAGGGTGAATTAAAGGCTGAGTGAATGGGTATAGTAGAATCTAAAGGAATGGGTGAACTAATGCCTTAGGAAATGAAGAATGGGGCTGACCCAAGGGGTAAACTAATGCCTGAGGGAATGGATCAATTAGTGGCTGAGGGGATAGGTGATTTAATGGTTGAGGGAATGGATGGAACCATGGCATGAGGTTATGGGTATATTAATGGCATGAAGAAATGGATGAATTCCTGGTGAATTAATGGTAAATGGTATGGGTGAATGAATGACTGAGGGAATGGCTGAATCAGTAGCTAGAAAATGGATTAATTAATGGCTGAAGAAATTGGTGAATTAATGGCTGAGGGAATTTGTGTATTGGGGCTGAGAGAATGGCTGTATCAATGGCTGAGGGAATAGGTATAATAATGCTATGAGGGGCTTGAATTAATGGTGAAGGGAATGTTTGAAATTAAGGCTGAATGAATGGCTGAGGGAATGGCTGAATTCATGGTTTAGAGAATGGCTGAATTAATGGCACAAGGAAAGACTGGGGGAATAGGTGTATTAAGGGAATAAGGGGATGAGTGTATTAGTGACTGCGGGAATGTGTGTATTAATGGCAGAGGAATTGGGTTTATCAGTGGTTTAGGGAATGGGTAACTTTATTTCGACTGAGGGAATGGGTGTATTAATGGAAGTGTATGATGAGTGTGGTGCATTAACGCTCTGCGGGGTTCTGGGCGTGCCCATTCCTATGCTCCGGCCCCTGATACGTGCCCCCAACCTCTGATGCATACCCACCCTCCCCAGATGAACAGGAGACCACAGGTGCCATCAGCTACACGGTGGAGTTGAAACGCTACGGGGGCCCCCTGGGCATCACCATCTCAGGCACAGAGGAGCCTTTCGACCCCATCGTCATCTCGGGCCTCACCAAGCGTGGCCTAGCTGAGAGGTGAGCCAGGGCTCTGTGGGCACACACGGGTCAGCCAGGGACCCCATGGGCAGCAGCTGAGCTTTGGGGTCAGTCAAAACTGGCTCTCAGCTTTGTTCCAACATCGATGGTCTGGGGCCTGTCCTGTTGCGCTCTGAGCCTCAGTTCCTCAGGTGGGACCCAGCCCCTGGCAGCCATCCCGATTTCAGGTAAGTGCTGGATAAATCCCTCCCAGGCGGCTCAGTGGGTAAAGAATCTGCCTGCAATCCAGAAGACGGGTTCGGTTCCAGAAGACCCAGGTTCGATCTGTGGGTTGGGAAGATCCCCTGGAGAAGGGAATGGCAACCCACTCCAGTATTCTCGCCTGGAGCATCCCATGGACAGAGGAGCCTGGCGGGCTACAGTCCATGGGGTCGCAAAGAGTCGGACACGGCTGAAGTGACTGAGCACGCACACACACTGGATAAATATGTGCTCACCATCTGCTCCCCCAAACCTGGAGATCTCCCTGTTTTTGGAAAGTCAGCATGTGAGCCTTTATGGAGCCCGTGTTTCTTGTGCCTTCATAGTACAGGGGCCGTGTTCCTGGTGCCTGAGTTCCAGCACAGCCCGGGGCACCTCTTTGGAGGCACTGGGGTGGGGGCCCCCACTATTCTCTCCCCTAGGAAGTCCCCCCAAAACCATGGCAGCAGGGGGAGCTGTGAGAAGAGTCAGGTCCAAGCTGTCCAGTTCGGAGGGCAAGCAGGGAGATCTGGACCCGAAGTGGAACTGGTCGCCTCTGGGGTGGGGGTCACAGGGAGGCGACCTCAGTGTGGGTGAGACAGGCTTTCTCCGGACAGCTTTGCAGTGAGGTCCAGGCACCGAGAAGAACTTGTTGTAAAAGGGGAGCCTCGTCTGGCCTGGGACACACCCTGCTGGGGTGGGTGGGGCAGGGGATGGAGGGGTTCTGGGGCTGAGGCCAACCCTGAGCCAACCCTCTTGGCTGTGCTCCTGGAGCGGCCCCCGCTGGATGCCCAGCACACTGCAGAGGGCACCGTGAACGGTTCTGAATTCGGAGATCTTCAACCACATTTTCCGGGCACCCACTGTGAACCAGCCCTAAGGGGCACAGTAGACAACCTCCCTGCCTTCGCCTGGATGATCTAGGTCAGCACTGTCCAAGTGCAGTATAATGTGAGCTGCAAATGTATTCATAACGTTTGTAGCGGCCACAGTGTTGCTCAGTCGCTCAGCTGTGTCCAACTCTTTGTGACCCCATAGACTGCAGCACACCAGGCCTCCCTGTCCATCACCAACTCCCAGAGCCTACTCAAACTCATGTCCATCGAGTCGGTGATGCCATCCAACCATCTCATCCTCTGTCGCCCACTTCTCCTCCTGCCTTCAATGTTTCCCAGCATCAGGGTCTTTTCCAGTGAGTTGGCTCTTCGCATCAGGTGGCCAAAGTATTGCAGTTTCAGCATCAGTCCCTCCAATGAATATTCAGAACTGGTTTCCTTCAGGACTGACTGGTTTGACCTCCTTGCAGTCCAAGGGACTCTCAAAGAGTCTTCTCCAAAACCACAGTTTGAAAGCATCAATTCTTTGACACAGTCTTCTTTACAGTCCAACTCTCACATGACTACTGGAAAAAACCATAGCTTTGACTATATGAATGTTTGTTGGCAAAGTGATGTCCCTGCTTTTTAATACGCTATCTAGGTTTGTCATAGCTTTTTTTCCAAGGAGCATCTTTTAGTTTCATGACTGCAGTCACCCCCAAGTGATTTTGGAGCCCAAAAAAATAAAATCTGTCACTGTTTCCATTGTTTTCCCATCCATTTGCCATGAAGTGATAGAAAAGTCATTTCAACTTTAAAAAATCTTAAATATGTATTTATTTGAGCATGTGATCAGTGTAAAAATGACTAACAGAATAGTTGACATTCCTCTTTCACATTATGTCTTCAGACTCTGGTGTATTTTACACTTTTAGCACGTCTCCATACAGGCCAGCCACATCTCAGGGCCCAGCAGTCCCACGTGGCTGGTAGCCGTCGAACTAGACAGCACAGCCCTGACTTTCCTCCCGGAATCCAGTCCTTCCCGACTCAGTCGGTCCCCCAGGCCCTCGGGGAGCTCGCTGGGCCAGGCTGTTCGTGGAAGGGCTTGACCCTCCATGAGCTCCCAGCTGGGGGCGAAATCTACACTTGGAGTCTAAGAGCCCCGACCCCAGTCCTCTCCCTCCTGCTCCTCCACGCAGGTCGGGTACATTCTTAGCCCCCACTGCCACCCCCCCCCGCCCAGCCCTGGTTGCTCCCCAGAATCCCATCCCGGGCCCCACTCCCAGAGGTTCGGTTTCACCGGTCAGGGGGAGGGGCCAGGCATCTGTACTTTTGAAAAATCTCCTTAGGTATCTCATAGCATTTAGGTGGAAAACCACTGAGGTATGCAGTTACAGCTTGGCCTTATCAGCGCCCACCCCCCTCCCCCCGCATACCCCTGTATGAAGGCAGCTGGATCCTGGCGATTACACTTATTCTCCAGGTGGGGAAACTGAGGTCCAGGGAGAGGGAAAGGCTACCCATGGGTGTCAGCTGGAGGAGAACGTGCATTCCTTCCACTCATCTGTCCTTGATTTATAATTTGATACCATAAGTATCAAATTATTACTCTTAGTTTGCAGATGAAAGAACTGAGACTCAGGGAAGTAAAGAAATTGGCCCAAGACCACATAGTTCAGTTCAGTCGCTCAGTTGTGTCTGACTCTTTGCGACCCCATGGACTGCAACATGCCAGGCCTCCCTGTTCATCACCAACTCCCGGAGTTTACTCAAACTCATGTCCGTGGAGTCAGTGATGCCATCCAACCATCTCATCCTCTGTTATCCCCTTCTCCTGCCTTCAGTCTTTCCCAGCATCAGGGTCTTTTCAAATGAGTCAGCTCATCACATCAGGTGGCCAAAGTATTAAAGTTTCAGCTTCAGCATCAGTCCTTCCAATAGTCATCATTCAGGACTGATTTCCTTTAGGATTGACAGGTTGGATCTCCTTGCAGTCCAAGGGACTCTCAGGGGTCTTCTCCAACACCACAGTTCAAAAGCATCAATTCTTCAGCGCTCAGCTTGAAAAGACCACATAGTATTTGGTAGTAGTAAGTGGCGTTCCAAACATCCTCTAAATTCATGCTGAACGCTGGTTCCAGAACCTAACTTTAGAGTTGAGCAGGAAAAATCCCCTCCCAGATGATAAACTTGATACCTATTAACACAATCACACTGGCTTTTTTTTTAAATCCCAACACAGGTGGGTTTACCTGGGGTCATCCAGGCTTGTGCTTTGGGTTTCCTGAGTTCCCGGAGGGCAGACCCCCCACTTCAAGTCCCTAATTCCCGTCCTCTCCCCTATGCACCCTCCCCAGGACTGGCGCCATCCACGTCGGGGACCGTATCCTGGCCATCAACAGTGTTAGCCTCAAGGGCCGGCCGCTGAGCGAGGCCATCCACCTCCTGCAGGTGGCTGGCGAGACCGTCACCCTGAAGATCAAGAAGCAGCTAGACCGTGAGCCTCACCCCGCACCCTGGGGCCGTCCAGCCCACTTGGGGAGAGAGCTCCCTCGGGCACTGTGCCACGCTCTGTGGGCCCAGCCTCGCCAGATGGCTGCTCACCCCGGGGAGGCGGGAGGGTCCCTGGGACAAGGCTCAGAGCGATGCCCCGAGGCCGCACGGCCACTGTGGTGCTCTCTGGGCCCGAACCATGCTCTCCATCCCCTCCCGCCTCGGCCTGCTGCCTCTGAAGGAGCCGGCTTGCTATCTCCTGTGTCTGTCACTGATACATCCCCCAGTTTCCCCGGTGCTTTGCTAGGAGTGGACAAGAGTCCAGACTTCGGAGCTCTTCTCTGAATCTGGGCTCCACTGTCGCTCACCATGTGACCTTGGGTGTGTGGTGCAGCCTTCCCAGAGCCTCAGTGTTCCCGTCCGTGAGATGGGTTTGCCCACTAGCCTGCCTCCCATCTCACGTGTCCGCTTGGTCAGCGAGAGGCTCAGGGCACCCAGGGGCCTGTGATTCCCCAAACCAGGCCGAAGCAGGGAAACAGACTGGTTGAACATCTCTGACTCCAAGGTCAGAAGCCAGTGGCGGTGACACCCGCTTTTCCTCCCAGGCCCCCTCGCACCCCGCAAGTCGGGCAGCCTCAGCGAAGCCAGCGATGCGGATGAAGACCCGCCAGAGGCGCTGAAAGGCGGCCTGCTGGCAGCCCGATCCTCGCCCACCGTGCCCAGTGTGGACAGCGCCGTGGAGTCCTGGGGGAGCTCGGCCACAGAGGGTGGCTTTGGGGGCCCAGGTGACGCCTCGGGCCCCTGGACGGGCTCTGCTCTCTCTGGGCCTTTACAGGGGCCGTGCCCCGCCCCTGCCCCGCCTCTTGCCCTGCCCCTGCCCCGCCTCCTTGTTCCTCCTCTGCCGGCTCCGTCCCCTAGGGACACTTCCTGACGGCAGACCTGATTGGGCCCGGTCAGCCATTCTGATGGCCCCTCACCCTCAGAGCGTGGACTACGGGCCTTCCTGGGCTTTGACTGGCATCCATGGCACAGAGCTGCCCGTTCAGATCTCCCCCATGAGGCTGAGACTAAGGGGTCTGTCTTCTGCCTCCTCCATTCCCAGCCTGATGGCCAGCATGCAGCAACTGTCCAATGCTGATTGCATCCCATCAAAGACAGGAAGGCAGAAAGCCCCCTGCCATCCCTCCTGCGAGACCCACTTGGGAGGCCACCCCCCAGGACACACGCCCCCAACCCCCCGCCCATTGCACGTGAGACCCATGGGCGGCCTTGGGGATGTCTGAATTTTGTGATCTCTGTGACCCAGAACCGCAGGGGACTCTCCAAGGCCCAGCTCAGGGAGGGGTGGGGTGAGGCCTCCAGGTAGTCTCAGGGGCCCTGGGTCCTGGTCATCCCTTGCTGCGTGTCCGCTCACTCTGTTTCAGCTTCCCCATCTGCAGCCCTAGGTCAGCATCACCCCGCAGGGCAGGACCTTCAGGGCCGGGAGAAGGGGATGGTTAAGAGTGTGGACCCCTTCTCACGCTGAGCCCCATGGAGCTGGGACGGGGTCCTGGAGGCCTGGCACTCACTCTGCTGATGGTCACGGGGTTCTGGAGTAGGGGCCTTGGGTGGTCCGGCAAGCACAGAGGAGGCAAAGACCTCTCCCAGGCCACCCCGCCAGGCTGGAGGTGGGGCAGGAAGGAGGGCCAGTGGGGCACACGGAGAGGATGTTCGACACTCTCTCTCTCTGTCCGCAGGTTCCTACACTCCGCAGGCGGCTGCTCGGGCCATGACCCCCCAGGAGTGGCGGCCCAGCCGGCTGAGAAGCAGTCCCCCACCGACCGAGCCCCGGAGGACGAGCTATACCCCAGGCCCTGCCGACGAGAGCTTCCCCGAGGAGGAGGAGGAGGACTGGGAGCCGCCCACGAGGTCTGTGGGGGACAGGGGGCGCCTCCAGGGGAGGAAGCAGGCTTGGCCTCCCGGCTGGGACGGGCTTAGGGAGCTGGTCCCTGTGCCAGGGCGGTGGGCGCGATGAATGAGTCTTGTGTGGCTCCCGGGAGAGGAGCGCAAGCGCGGGGCAGAGCCATCTCCATTTCAGAAGGCCCGGAGCGGGGGCGGGGGCACAGCAGAGGCAAGGGGGGCAGGAAGGCAGCCTGGTTGACTCCCCCCGCCGTGTCTGGCGATTGGCTCTTCTCAGAACCTGAGACGTTGAACCCGGACCCTCCCGACTTGGCCCAGGTGGCTGTGGCCCTCCTGCGGGGACCCCCCCCCACCCCCGCAGGGTGGCTGTGGTCACGAGCGCCAGCCCTGGGCTGTGGGTATGATGCTGTTTGTGGTGGTGTATTCAGAGGGATTCAGCTGCCCACGGCTCCTGCGAGGAGCAATTCCAAGGAGTCCCAGCCGCCCTCTTCCCACGGCCGAGTTTCCGACCAGGCTGTGCCTGCTGCCGAGAGCGCCGCCCCCTCCCCTTTCTGGGCCGACGCCTGCTCATCCTTCAGACCAGGCTCAAGGTCCCCTCCCCGCGCAGGCTTCCCTGACTCTCAGAAGGGAGGCATGGCTCCCTCCGCTGGAACCCACAGCCGTGCACACGAGCCTCCTGGTGGCACTGGCTGTCTTGGGTCTGCCTGTTAACGACCTGGCTGTTGAGTCTTCTGCGTGGCACCCCGAGCTCAGCCTGACACCCAGTAGGTGCTCATGCCCACACGCCATGAGATCAGGGCCCTCACCTTAGTCCCTTCCGTGGCCCTGCGCCCAGGAGAGGGCCTGGCTCAGCGCGTCTGTAGAATGGACTCGAACGCAGCGCATGGCCTTCAAGGCTCCGTCTTCTCATCTCTGAAATGGGAAGGCGAGGGGGCCGCCTCTCTTGTATCATCGTCCTGGCGGCTCCCCAGGAGATGAAAGCCTGGGTGCCTTCCTGAGAGAGGGAGAGAGCTTTGCCCACCACGGCACACTTGATAAGGGCCGGGGCTGTGTCGACAGCAAAGGGCGCTGCAGGTGGTGAAGCGTGAAAATGTGGCTTGTTGCGCTCTGATGGGGCCCGGCCTCCTGTGATGGAAATTGTAGAGGGGGTGGGGCGCGGCCCTTTCCCCAGCGCGGACCCTCCATCCTCATCTGTCCGTGTCCACGCCGGCTCCAGCTGTGTCTGTCACTGTCCTGCAGTGCCTTGTGTCTGGGCGGGGAGGGGAGGCCAGGGGCTGTCCTCTGGGGCTGCACCATGGATCTCCTCTCTTGTCTGTCTCTCTGTCCGTCTGTCTCTCTTCCCAGGCGTCCTGTGTCACCGCTCTCCACCCCGTCTCATCCGCCCCTGTTCTAGCCGCTCACCGCCAGTCCCGGTGGCCCCTCACTGCGTCTCCCCCCATTCCGTGTCACCAGCCACTGCCCCGGGGCCCCAGCATTGCCGCCAAGGACGCCTGCCCGCCCACCCGCCCGCCTACCCTCTGGCCCCCCCGAGCCCAGCGCAGGGTGCCCAGGGCCCGGAAGATGCCTCAGATCCCCGCTCGCCCACCTGCCCGCCGGGAGTTGACCTTCTCTGGTTCCTACGTTGCAGCCCAGCCCCTGGCCCCGGCCGCAAGGAGGGCTTCTGGCGCACGTTCGGGGAAGCCCTCGAAGACCTGGAGTCGTGCGGTCAGTCAGAGCTGCTGAGGGAGCTGGAGGTACGGGCTTGGGCACCCGGGTGCGTGTGCCCGTGGGAGGCAGCACGGAGGTGGGACTGTGCTCCCGTGTAGTGTGTGCAAGTGCACGCGCCCGGCGTCCTCCGGGGGGAGGTGCTGCACACACGCACGGATAGACACATGTGCAACGGAGGCATGTTTGGAGCATGTGTGTGCATGCGTGCATGTGAGCACGCTCAGGCATGCACAGCGCAGAGTGTCTTGTCGCAACACATGTCCGGGTGTGCACATGTGGATGCGTAAGGGCAGCTGTGTGTGTGTGTGTGCGCGCGCGCACGTGCATGCACGCACAATACAGGGGCCTGCATGGCTGTGAGCATGCCCAGAGGAAGCTTCTGGATGGCAGCACCCGTGACAGCAGGAGGCGAGGGGCCGGGAGGTGAGTGCGGCTGCCGGGAGGTCCACGTTCCCCGCAACGGGGCAGGCTGCCCGGGGAGACCCAGGCTGGGGGTCCTCCCGGCTCACTCCTGGAGCGCCTCCCCGCTCCAAGCTCGGCGGCCTACTCTCTTTATCTGCGCTTCTGCCCGTTTGTGCTCCTTGGGCTTCTGATCGACCTGCGTCTCTCTGTTCGTCTTGCCAGTTACTGGGCTCTTCAAAGAATCAGGCTTTAGTTTTGTGCGTCTTTCTCACGTTTCATTGGTTCTTTGTCTTGCCCTTTTCCATGTTTTGCTTCCATATTCCCTTCCTTCTACTTTACTTGTGTTTTAAGTCCTGATACTTTTCCTGGTTTCTCAACTCCTTAATTTTCAATCTTTCTTGTTTCCTAACATTTATAAAGATAAGAATTTACCTGTAAGCCCTTGCTTGACTGCATCCCATAAACTTTAAGTTGTGGCACTTTTAAGGTCTATTCAATTCCTAATATTTAAAAAATGTCCATTAAAATTTTTACTGAAGCCCTTTAATTACACTTCTAGAAGTGGGGTGTTTGGTTTTGGAACTGCATATGTGTGGTTTTACTTTTTGATGCCAACTTTAAAACCAGTTCACACTGGATTGTGACAGTGGATTCAATTTGATACTAACTCTTGGGATTTTTTGTAAGACTTCTTTCTTGGTGGCCAAGGACGTGATCAGCTTTAGTAACTGTTTCGGGTAAGCTTGCAAAAGTTTGCTGACGGCAAACAGAGCGGGAAGCGTCTGAGTGGAGGGCTGTGTCCCCTCAGGCGTCCATCATGACAGGCGCCGTGCAGAGCGTGGCCCTGGAGGGCGGGCCCCACCACCGGCCCTGGAGGAGGAGCCGGGAGCTACGAGCCTCCCCCGAAGGGACGCAGGAGCTGCTGCCGCCGACGCCCGTGGAGATGCACAAGGTGGGTGCTGGTGGTCGGGGTGCGCGGGAGGCCTGGGCGCATGTCCTAATGCTGTGGATACTTGCCATGGCCTCAGATGGACCCCACTCCTCTCCAGGCTTCGTTCTCCTCCACCAGGAAAACACAAGATTAGGTCGGAGGTAGAGTTTTCCAAAACTCCTGCCATTTGGCTGAAACACACACACACATCCATCCGTGCACTTGTGTGTGCGCACACACACATACACACACACACTTGTGATGCTTTTGTTTACGTGGACTCACTTTTATCCCACTTAAGTTATTGTGTGTGAGTATATATAGTATATAAGCTTGTAGTGTGTGTGTGGTATATATATGTATGTGTGGCAGTGGTGGTTTAGTTGCTCAGTCGAGTCCAATTCTCTATGACCCCTTGGACTGTAGCCCGCCAGGCTCCTTTGTCTGTGGGATTCTCCAGGCAAGAATGCTGGAGTGGGTTGCCACTTCCCATTCCAGGGGATCTTCCCGACCCGGGGATCAAAACTACGTCTCTTGCGTCTCCTGCATTGGCAGGCGGATTCATTACCACTAGCGTCACCAGGGAAGCCCATGTGTGTGTATGTGTGCATGTATATCACTACCTCACAGGAAAGGCCAGCATTTTTGTCAACTATAGGCTACAGTCTAGAAAAATAAAACACACGGGGAAAAGAGACCTCTTGCCCCATAATAGCCTTCAGAAGGCTCTGAGCTCTTTGGGGGACGGGGCAATGGGAAGGGTCAGAGGCTGGTGAAAGCACATGGCCACCCTACGGAGACTTTGCTCTGGAATGGAAGTGGGAAGACTGCAAAGGAATGGAAAGGAACTCTGTCCTGTGGCTTCTGCGGTGACTGAGTGCTGCAGAATGACGGTCCCCAGAGGTGGGGTGTCAGCCAGGTGGGCTGGGGCTGAGTCCAGAGGCATCCGATGCCAGCCCAAGGGACTTGGGCAGCTGTGGGGTGCTGAGGTCCCCTCCTCCTGCTGCCCCAGGTGACGCTGCACAAGGACCCCATACGGAGTGACTTCGGCTTCAGCGTCTCAGACGGCCTCCTGGAGAAGGGCGTCTACGTCCACACCGTGCGCCCTGATGGGCCGGCCCAACGTGGGGGTCTCCGGCCCTTCGACCGGGTTCTCCAGGTAACACTGGGGTGGGGGTACCTTTGATGGAGTGGTCTTCTCTAGCCCCAGGGTGGGGAGAAAACCCAGCGTCTACCCTGGCTGAGTGGCCTTGGGCAGGTGGCTTCCTGTCTCTGAGAGTCAGCTTCTTCATCTGAGAGAAGGGGCTGACCTCACAGGTATATCAGTGAGGTTAGGCTAAGTTATGCTGCAGTAACAAACAACCCCACATCTCAGTGGTTTTTCGGTATTTCTTTCCTAAAATTGTTTTGTTTTCGTTTTGGCTGGGCTAGCTCTTGGTTGCTGTGCGGAGGTGCTGTCTCATGGGGGCGCGTGGACGCCTCACTGCGGTGGCTTCTGCTGCTGCAGGGCTCAGGCGCCAGGATATGCTGCTGGCTTCAGTACTTGGCGCAGGCTCAGTACTTGGAGCAGGCTCAGTACTTGGAGCAGGTTCAGTACTTGGAGCATGCAGGCTCTGGAGCGCTGGCTCAGTGGTTGTGGCATGCTGGCTGAGTTGCCCTGTGACATGTGGGATCTTCTTGGGCCAGGGATTGAACCCAGGTCCCCTGCATTGGCAGGCAGATTCTTAGCCATTGGACCAAGAGAAGTCACCAAATCTCAGTGATTTAATGCATGTGGATATTTATTTATCACCTCTCCTATAATACATCCACTGTGGGTCTTGTGGAGGCTCTGCCCTCTAGGAAATGCCCCAGACACCATGGCAACTAAGTCATGCGATCTCACAGCAAGGGAGCCTGGGAAATGTGAGTGGGCACACCCTTGCCCGTGCCCCACATTCTGGGCAGGAGGCTCAGCATGTGGTCTGCTTGTGATGTTAAAAAATAAAGGAGACGCAGGTGCAGGTGTTGGAGGGTGAAGGATGCACGGAAGGGCTGATAGAGTTAATGGGAGTGCCCGCCTCTGTGTCAGCATTTAGACTGACTGTGTGTCCGGGCCGGGCAGGGTCTGTGTGTTGGGAAAGCCTCACCCACTTGAGCCCAGGCTGAGTGGATGCCATCTGCCCCGTGGCTGTGTGTGTGCAGGTCAACCACGTTCGCACGCGGGACCTTGACTGCTGCCTGACCGTGCCGCTCCTGGCCGAGGCGGGCGATGTCGTGGAGCTGGTCATCAGCCGCAACCCGTTGGCGCAGACCAGCCGGTCCCCGCGGGCGCCTGGCCCCAGTGGCCCACGGATGCTCTGAACTCGGCCCGTGATCTGGACATCCAGGAAGATCCTGGTTCCCACGCCTGCAGCCGGACTGGAGAAGTGGCCAGCCGCCTGTCCGTCTGCCATCTGGGCAGGCTCAGACCGGACTTTGTCCTCCAGATTTGTGGTGACGGGAGTCCGGGCCTGTTGCAGCGACATTGAGGTCTTTCTCCAACTGGGCCTCTGAGATGCGCCGGGGGGGGCAGGGTGCCCAATGGAGGTGAAGGCAGGTCGCTCAGCCAGGAGTGAAGGGGCCACTCCAGGTCCCTGCAGGCCCCTCCGAAGCGTGTCCAGTGTGGGGACAGCTCAGCGCCACACAGGGAGCGATCGCCCAGCAGAGATGTGGAGCTGGGTGACTGCAGGGCAGGAGTGAGCCCCCCGTCTCAGGAGGTGAGCAAGAGGAGCTGATCCCTGCTGCGTGGTCGCAGGCAGGGATGTGCAGCTTCTCAGGGATGGTTAGTCTCCCCTCAGGGGAGCATCTAGGGTGAGGCTGGGGGCTACTTGATCTGGATGGCCTCCCGCCAGGAAAGACGGAAGGGGGCCAGCCCCTTTCTCTCCAGAATCTGGGTCCGGGGCTCACCGGCTCACCCTCCCCTGCTGCACTTAGGAGACTCGGAGCCAGGGCGTCTGGAATCCCATGCCCTCTGAGCAGTTATTCCATTTATGAGACTCTGGTTGAAGCCTCTGTGGCTTGCGATTGCATTTCTGGGCCCGTTGGGTGAGCTTTCACAAAGCGGGCATCAGGCTGTCTGCCTCTCCCACTGCTTTCATAGGCCGCGTGGCCATTGCCCCGTACGAGTGCACCCCTCTCAGCCCAGGCCCCTCAGGGTGGGAGGGAGTCGTTTTCGGACCGAAGTCCCAGGTGTGTTCCATTCAGCTGCTGTGACCGTGAAGATGGGGAACCTTGGAAACAGGATGCGTGTGAGGGGATCCAGCTTCTCACCAGTTCAGCAGAGCAGGGGACAGAAGCAGATGGAGAGACTGGGGGGGCGGGGGGAGACGGGCCGTTCTTTTTCACTCCTGGGGGCGACAGTGTCCAAAGGGGTCATGCAAGTTGATTCTCGTTTGAAAATCTGGAAGCGCCAGCATTGCTTAAAATGGTTTTCCTTTTGTTCTGCTACCTTTTGGTATGGAGAAGGGCCTGGGACATCTCCCTGGAGGTTAGGGCTGTCCCCGCCACCCGTCCCGGGGATGGAGGTGGGCAGAAAGCATTCAGCCAGCCAGGCTGTGCTTGGACCCTGCCCAGCCCTTAACAAGGTCCCAGGAAAACAGAGGCACCGCCCGCCTGCACCTTCCACCTTGCACCCCTGTGTCCCCAGAATAACGCTCTTCCCCTCGAGGGGCTTGATGAGGACCCCAGAGCTGTGCGGTTTGCACACTGGGTCACTGTGCATTGCCGTGTGCCCCTTGCGGGCTGACCCCTCTGCACAATTAGGGTGGGGATGGTCTCAGAACCGTCTCTGCCTGTTGGACGGCAGCTGAGGAAGACGTGCCCTGAACCCGGCCAGCCCCCCGCATCCTTGGGCTGAGGACTCCGCCACTCCCCAGATGTCTGCAGCCGGGTCCCATGGGTGAGCCTCCTGGCCGCGGCCGGCCTTTTCATATGCAATATTCCTCTGTCTTCTCATGGGGACTGGTCACCCCAGAATCAACGTTTCCTGACCCCCGTCTCCCCGGTGAGCGTCCTGCCTGCCTATGCATTTTCAGTACAGCCCCCGCGCGATGTGCCCCTCCCACCCCCTAAAAGCTGTATTTTTCTCTGGCTGAGATTAGAGCATATTCCTTGTAAAGTATTTTTCTACAAGGGGTTTTCTTAGGGCTCTCGGGAAGCACAAAGTGACGAGGGGCGCCAAATCGTAAAGGCCATTTGGGGTCTGTCTGGGGATGTGTACAGACCTCGCCCCCCCAAGTTGCAATGACTTGGGGGTCGGGTGGGAGATTGCTGTTGGGGTGATTTTTAAAAAAAAATAAAACTATTTACAACCATCTGGATTAGGGTGTCTGCTTTAACAAATAAATCATTTGCTTGCGATACCTCTCCCAATTATGGATGATGTTTTGCACAACACAAAGAAAAGTAATTGTTAAAATTTTTATGGAACCTCAAAAGACCCAGAATTGCAAAAAGCAATCCCAAAGAGAAAGAACGTACAACAAGGCATAAGCCTCCCGAACTTTACACAGCACTGCAAAGCTATGGTCATCAAAGCAGCATATGCCACGATCACAGAAATGGACACGCAGATCAACAGACGGGAATACAGGGCTCACAGATCAACCCGCAAACATCTGCTCGATTAGTCTTCGACAAAGGAGACCAAATATACAGGAAAAAGACACCGTAATCCCGATACGTTTACATACTAAAGTTGTTACGGGCAACGTCCACAAGGCAGCAGCCTTTCTTTACACCTCCTTGTGCTTACTGGGGAACCAGAGCCTTCGGGGACGGGCTCTTCATGCAGAGTGCGCCTGAGCAAACAGCGGTGGGCATGTGTCTCGCCACTTACGCCCCCTTAAGATTCAACCCAAGACAAAAAAAGCCCAAGCCTTGCACAAATGGCCTCAGTGGCCGGTGGTTCACAGAAGGGGTAACTCGGAGGGAGGAGGCTGAAGTGGGGACCCAACGCCAGGACACGCAGAGGCTACATGAGTTTTTTTAAACTCCTCCTGGCCAGAGGGTCCACCTTCGTTCAGGGGCACCAGGCTTGCTTTAGCTGTAGGATGGTCTGCCTAGGTCTGGAGACTGCGGTCATGTCAGGAGGAAAACAGATGTGCTTCAGCAGCAAAGTGGGGCTCTGGCGCAAGCACAAGCACCCCAGGCCTATCAGCCCCAGTGCAGGCCAGCCATGGGACCCAAGCTGGCTCAGGCTCCAGGGCTGGAATACCAACCAGCCCAAGACAAGGAGGACAGAGCAGCATGCAAGGCCTTTTCTTTTATTACTTTTTCTTTCCAATTTCACTTTTACGACATGTTGGAGTATAGTTGATTTACACGGTTTTATTTTCAATGTACAGCATTTTGACTCGACTTACGGCTCAGTTCAGCTGCTCATTCGTGTCCTGGTCTTTGCAACTCCATGGACCGCAGCACACCAGGCCTCCCTGTCCATCACCATCTCCCAGAGCCTACTCAGACCCAGGTCCATCGAGTCGGTGATGCCATCCAGCCATCTCGCCCTCTGTCGTCCCCTTCTCCTGCCTTCAGTCTTTCCCAGCATCAGGGTCTTTTCCAACGAGTCAGCTCTTCCCATCAGGTGGCCAAAGTATTGGAGCTTCAGCTTCAACATCAGTGTGATATATATTATACTATATATAATATATATAAAACATGCAACATAATATATATATTATGTTAACTATATTAATATATCAATATACATATGTGTATATTAATATATAGTGACATAATATATTATATAATCACATAATTATATAATATATAAAATATATCTACATATATAATCATATTTAATCATATTTATGATATATATAATATATATCAAAATATCAAAATACATTTAAATATATAATCATATATATATTTAAATATATTTATATTAGATACCATAATATATAAAATATGTAATATATTACATAATATATTATATATAATTATATATAAATGTAAATATATAATATATTAATATATGCTTATATATATTATATATATAAACTGTATATACATATATATCATTATACTATTATTATATTATAATATATCATATAATATATGATATACAAATATATTTATATATCATATATTATATATATTATATATATTATTTTATTTATTATTATAATGTATAACATAATGTATAATAATATAATGTAATATATTAATATATTAATAATAATATAATATAATGTATAATATAATATGTATACATAATATGTCTAATATATGTCATATTATGTAATTATATATAAATATATATTTATTAATTCTATATAAATATATAATATATGTATTTATATATATAATATATATTTATATAGAATATGTAATATTCTGTATATAATATATAATATAATATAGTATATACTATATGTTTATATATATTTATAGTTATATATATTTATAAATATATATAATATATATTATATATAACTATTATATAATATATATTATATATAAATTATATAATATATTACATATTTATATACATTTATATATTTATATATGTATATAAGTAAATATATATTTGATATATATTTATAAATATAAATATATATAAAGTTATACATATTTATATTAATATATTATGTTAATATATTTTAATATATTATATATTTTTATATTTTAAATTATATATAAATATATTTGAATATATATTATATATATGATATCTATTATATTATTAATTATATATATTATATAACATCAGTATAATATTCAGGACTGATTTTGTTTAGGATGGACTGGTTTGATCTCCTTGATTTATACACAGAGCAGATTCTTCACTTTTGGATTCTTTTGCCAGTGAGAATTCCAGAGGTTTGAGGAGCGTTCCAGGTGCTGAATCTCAGGTCCTTCTGTCGTAGCCATGCTTTCCGGGAAACAAACTCACTCAGAAGGACAATGCAGACAGTGGAGTGCACTTTATTACACCTGCGGGCCCAAGGCTGAGTCTCCTCTTAGCCAAGGATCCCGAGCAGCATTTGTGAAAATCTTTTATACCCCATGTGTACGTGTCTGAACCCACCACCCCAAATTCCTTGAGACTTACAAAAGAAGGGTCAATACAATCACAAAAACCCCATCATGCGTGTGTTATGTGTTCAGTTAATAATCAACAAACCTGCGGTTACATTCCAACCAGTTAATAACTGATAAGCCTGTGGTCACATTCTGATAGATACTGTCTGGAGGCAGGGGTGATTAGAGTATGTTTTCTCTTAGGCGATGAGTAACCTGGATACGATCTTCAAGGTTCCCCTGTCCAGAGGGGGTCTTATCCTCCTGTTGTAGTTTCCATAGGGACTGAGCGCAGA